TTTTTTGAATTGTAGTGGGGTAACATTGGTTAATAAAATTATATACGTTTCATGTGTACAGTTCTGTACATCATCATCTGTATATTGTATTGTGCATTCACCATGCTAAGTCTTCTTTCATTACCATCTATCCCTCCTATCCCCTCTTCTGAAACTCCTTATATACTATGAAAGTGAGCAACTTTGATGCATTCCCAGTAGCTCTGATGGGTTCTCTACTACCACTTCAAAGAAAATTGTGTTCCCTTTAGTTTTGTCAAAACAAACATTTTTAATGTAAAATGGTTGCTTTTCATAGTTCACACTCTCCATTGTCATGAAATCAGTAAATATAAAGAAAAGTATGGTGAAGGTAATTAATTCTGTGAGTTCCCAGACACATTCTGTGAGACTCATTGTGGGGAATAAAAAGATGTAAAAGAGCCAGTCAAAATAACTTGATCTTGCTCTAGAGGAGGCGGATGTGGCATAGTAGAAAGATTATGGAGTTTGCCATCAAAGAGAACTAGGTTTCCATCATACTTCTGCCATCTAACAGTTGTGTGACTTTGGGCAGGTTTTCTCTTCTATGAAATTCAGATACATAGATAAATACTTGCATTGTGTTGTTTTTGTGAAGATAGAGCTGTTAAAAAATTCAACTAAGTTTAAAGATCTAATTAGCATTATCCAATGTTACAGGCAACATTCCATCTAGCAAAGCTCCATGGAGGAGTGCCAAGAACCTATACCAAATGAAAGGCTTTTTATAGGGAGAAGGGGGCAGGAAAATGAAGTTTCTAAGCAAAGAGTTCGTCATTTCAGGCAAAGCACTTTCCTTTGGGGTGTCTGTCAGATGGATTACCTCACTAGTGCTGACAAGGAAATTATAGTTTAACTGGTTAAAGGTAACATTCCTGGGGAAGGCCGGGATTACATTTAGGTTTGGTATTAACTATCAGTTTGGTGATGAGGGCTTTGCAAAGGCGACCTCATCAAGGGCCTGCTATCTCTTTTTTAACAGAATGAAGAACCTCCTTAGGACTGTGTTTAATAAGACATTAACAGAAAAATATGAATTAGAAAATGATACATGTTACAAGAAATGTGTTTTCTTGGAGTAGGAAGAGGTAGTATTTCTGTTTTTAAAGATATTATAAAATTCTGAGGGATTGAGGAACTTTCCAGAACACTCAGTGAGAGGCTGAGTGGGGCTTTTTGAGCTACATGCAGCAACATGCTCTTTGCCACTCCTCCATACCTGCCTCGGCCCCCTCACTGGCTGTCAAAAATGGTGAAAGAAAAGCACTTACTATGATGTTTGGGGGGGTCAAACCCAATGCCACCCAAGAAAAATTGAATAAAAGGCTTATAGGAAGCTGGCCTTGAATTATCACCCCGATAAGTATCCAAAGGAAGGAAAGAAGTTTAAACAGATTTCTCAGGAATTCTGAGAAAAGAAAAGATGCAGAGAAAAGGGAATTATATGACAAAGAGAAGAACAGGCAATTAAAGAAGGTGGAACAGGTGGTGGTTTTGGCTCCCCCATGGACATCTTTGATATGCTTTTTGGAGGAGGAGGAAGGGTACAGAGAGAAAGGGGAGGTAAAAATATTGTGCATCAGTGCTCAGTAACCTTAGAAGATTCATTTGTATAATGGTGCAAGAAGAAAACTAGCTCTACAAAAGAATGTGATTTGTGACAATGTGAAGGCTGAGGTGGTAAGAAAGGAGCAGTAGAGTGCTGTCCCAGTTGCAGAGGTACTGGGATGCAAATAAGAATTCATCAGATAGGACCTGGAATGGTCCTATGTGCAAGGAGTGTCAGGGTCACAAAGAATGGACCAGTCCTAAAGATAGAGGCAAAAGTTGCAATGGTAGGAAGATAGTTTGAGAGAAGATTCTAGAAGTTCATTAGACAAAGGCATGAAAGATGGCCAGAAGATAATTTTCCATAGTGAAAGGAAACCAAGAACCAGGACTGGGACAGGAGATACTATCATTGTTTTAGATCAGAAGGACCATACTGTTTACACTGTTTTCACTTGATGAGAAGACCTTTTCATGTGTATGGATACAAAGCTGGTTGAAGCATTGTGTGGCTTCCAAAGGCCAATAGCTACTTTTGATAACCAAACCATAGTAATCACCTATCATCGGGTCAGATCGTCAAACATGGAGATTTCAAGTGTGTGCTAATGAAGGCATGCCAATTTACAGAACATATGAAAAGGCTTGCCTAATCACTGAATTTAAGGTAAACTTTCCTGAGAATGGCTTCCTCTCTCCTGATGAACTTTCTTTGCTGGAAAAACTACCCTAAAGGAAGGAAGTATTGTAGAAGAGACTGATGAAATGGATGAAGTACAACTGGTAGACTTTGATCCAAATCAAGAAAGACAGTGCCATTACATGGAGAGGCGTTTAAGGATGATGAACGCCATCGTAGGGGTAGTCATATGTCAGTGAACAACATTTACTGCTGGCATTTTATATACAGTACTGAATGAGTGAAGGAGTATAATCATGATATGCTCACTACTTGCTATTGTTTAAATATTCATCTAGCATTTTAAAAGTTAAATGAAGAATAAACTCACAGTATAGCAATACTGAGGGATTCATAAATAGTTAAAACTACATTATATGTAGCATGTATGTTTTAGTGCTTATTCCTATGTATTTCTCAGTAATATATATCTTTCCTTAGGGTATAAACTATAATAGCACATTTTTGGTTCAGTGTAATTTATCTTTACTTATAGACCTGTGTTTCTATAGCAAAGATCAAAATCATATGAGTGCTGTATATTTGAATAAAATTACAATGAAATTGATTCCAATATATGGCTGCCCAATTTTTAGGGCTGTTGTTTAAGAAAAATGGGAAAAGCATTTGAATGAATAATTACTTTTTTGTATTACTAACATTTTATAGGCTAGACTGTGGGCGAATTTCTTCATTGCCTTTTGTAAAGATGATTCATTACTCATGTTTCGTAGATATATGAATTCTTTGAATTCACTTAAGAATGGCGGTGTATTATGAGGGACATTGGTCATACAACCTGCTCTCCCCAAGAAACTGGACCATCCTTAAGAGTGAACCATTAAGTTCTCCTCTAGACAGCATGCTAGATGGACTAGCTGTCCATCTGTGAGGGTCTCTGCTCGAGGTGCATGCTACATACACACTGATGAATCAAATGAGATGACTTTATGCTCTCAACTCTGAAGTTATTTTTTTTAAATCACAATGTATTCACTAAGCAATTACTTAATTTCTTAATGTGGTTTCTTTAGAACTAATTTGCATTTGTACTTATAGCCATTGAAAAAATCAAGATACCTGCATAAAAAATAAAAATTTGTAATGAAAGTATTCTCCAGAAATAGTGCCTATTTACACATTATGTGGATAAACCTTAGAAGTGTATTCTAAGAAGATGCCCTTACATTCCCTAAGCTGGATTAAATACTTTTTGTATGTATTACCTCATTCTGCATTGTATTGGAATTATGTTTATGTCTGTCTCCCTATTACACCCTTTGCTTTATGAAAAATGTCATTCTAATTTTATAAGCCTAGTTCAGGGACAAGTACTTTAAACAAGGGTATTTATCTGAATTGAACAACTTAATGACAAAATTACTAAATATGAATCCTGTCATTTTGAACTGTTTTGTTGCTGGTGTCTTACTGGAATTTGGTTCAGAGTTATGTCTGTTTGGGGAAGAGTATTACTGACCCATTTCTAAGACTGTTTCACCTGCCCCTGGCTATTTCAGAATAGCTACTGGACTGGTTTCTAGGCACACACACCTTGCCTAAGTGGTGCTTTGTTTCTGCTCCCTCCTCCAGGAATAGCTTATACTTGGTACTGGACTGTGAGCTCCTTCAGGGCAAAAGTCATGGTATTAAAACAAAAGTTTCTGTTGTTCAGACTTATGTTGCCACAAACTAGGGAGCTCAATAATCTTTATGTAGATTCCAACTGGGTGTAACACCCTGTATGCTTCTGTGCTGCTAACAGAGCCACACACCGAATCTAAGAAAATCACTTTGAATCATTTTAGCTCATCCTTAAAGTACCACCCTGCGTGTTTTATTAACCGTGTCAAGAGCTCTCACTCATTTTAAATTCTCACAATTCATTTTTTCTTCCTAGTTTGTCGTTTTGGAATGATAGGTAAATCCTAGTGGGATCGTTTATATCCTGGGAGTCCCATGGAGGCTAAGGTTATGGTAATGTTATTTTCACAATCCCTTTATTTAAAAAACTGAGATATACACAAAGTGCGTTGAGTGCACTAATATTAAGTGTAAGGCTCGGTGAATTTTTACACATGTATACACCTGTGTAACTACCGCTCAGATCAAGACAGCTTTTTAAGCTTTCATAAAGTTCCCTTGTGCCACTTTCGAACCTCCCACCCAGAGGTAATCATTATTCTAAATTCTTACACCACATACAAGTTTTGTACGAAATTACTCTGGAGGAAGTGGAAACTGGCCCACAGCTCCTCGGGGCTAGACGAGACAAACGTTCGGCTCCCTCCCTGAAGGGCATCCTGAGGAGGTTCCAAGGAATCCGCCGTGCGACGGCTTTGCTTCCACTGACCGGAATCGGCCCCACCAGAAAGCGCTCCGGGACCACGTAGGTAATGTCAGAGCACGCCACAATAGCCTCCCGCCGTTTCCCAAGCCAGCCTCGCCGCAGCCTCCCCACCCTTCTAGTGGGCGCCCCTCCCGCGCACCAAGAGAGCCGGGTGTGGCTTTGGGCGGGACCCGCCGGAACGCGAGTGGCCAGGGGAGGCGCTCCGGAGTTGGGGATGTGGAGGCTCCCGCATTGGCCGAACTTTCCCCGCGGGCCTGCGGGCCGCAGCACCACCCTCCGCCCCCAGGCCCTCTTTCAGCGCTCCCATTGGCTGTTCGAGTTCTACACGCGCCTGCTCCGTACCCCTCCCGGCAGGATAAAAAATGGGTTGGGGGTGGGAGGTCGGAGCCGTGAGGCGGGTGAGCGGTCTTCTCGGTTAGGGGGCGCAAGACGGCCAATCAGGACAAGACGTGGAAAAGAGGCGCCGCGCTAGCCAGTCAGACCTGCGGTCCGGGTAGGGGCCGGCTGACGCGAGTGCGGATCGCAGCCAATGGGCGTGCCGCTACCCGTCCGCTCCTCAGCAGCCGGTCGGGGGCGGTGGACGAGCCCAAGAAGAGAGCGCGACGGTGGCGGAGCCATCGCTGGACGGCTCCGGGGAAAGCGAGGCCCGAGCCTCTGCGTCTAGGTGAGAGGCTGGACGCCGGGTGGGAGAGGCCAGCTGCAGGCCCTTACGTGCCTGGCCTGGGCCGCAGCTGCCGGCACCAGGACAGCAGGCCAAGCGGAGGCGGGGGTTACACCCGCCATCCCGCCCACGCCCTCGGCCCTGGACTCCCAGAGCTGGGGGCGCTTCCTCCGTCCGTAGGGTCTCTGTTCGCTTTGGTTGCGCCGCCCTCCGGAGGGCGGGGACCGCTAGCGGGGATGTAGGGAGTGGCCTGGGTTGCTGCTGCGGAGCCTGGGGGCGCTGCCTGGGATGGGGAGGCCGTGAAGAGGTGGCGAAGGCGGTGTGGGTTAGTTACCGGAGGAGCGGGCTGGTGCACTTGAGGGTTGCAGTAAAAGGAGGCCTGTGATTGAAGGATTGCAGGTCTGGGGAGGAAGAAAGTGATGGGAAAAGGGTGATGCTCAGAAAAAAAGGTACCGGAGGCCTCTTGGAAGTAGGCATTGATAGAGGGTGGGGAAAATTAGCTGGCAGCGGAGGGAGGGCAGGCTTGGGTTTTGAAGGCTAACAGATCTGAACAAATGGGGACACGTGGATCTGAAGTAAGAGGCACCTACTGAAACCGGAAGGTGACTTGAGAGGAAAAGGTTTTATGTGAATGAGACGTGGATGGAGGCTGTTTAACTAGAAGGCGTCAGGTGACCGGTTAAGGGGCATGTATACGGGGAGCACACGAGATAGACTTATGTATGGTAGCTGAAGGGTGTGGATCTTTTAGGAGTGAGTAATAATAACTGTCGGTTTTGGCAGAGACAAGGGAACCAAACATTTCAGGAAGGAGTCGGACAGGTTCACAGGTTCATTCACTGAGTGCATCGAGGGCTTAAACACGGAGACTTTGTAACTCGCTACTGAGGCTGATCGACCTTTCTCCCCCGAAATTAATCTGAGTTCATCTCTCAGAAGTAATGGCACAAGTGTTGTTTGCTTTTGATTGGATGGCAGTGAAGAATCGCTTAATTCTTTATATTAAAAAAAAAGTAGAAAGGCAGTGTCAGAAGATACTCTTAGAAAATCTGCCCTATAGGGGAATTTCGCAACTATCTTGTTAGGCATGTGTAATACGCATAAAAATTATGTAAGATCTCTTACAGTAACACAAGTGAAAGTTAACGTATGAGTACAATCCTGTTATTATATAGTATCCACTATTTTGTTGTTGTAGAATTTGGTTATATATCATGCTTGCTGGGAAAACTTTCAGCCTTGGGAAACTTTATAACTCAAATTCAAATTTCTTTTCATGTAAAGACAAGTATGGTATGTGGCTATCACTGCTGCTGCCTTTCTGTTTCAAGCTTCTGGAAATTTTATTTGTGGGGTGAGGACAGAGGTTGGGGGCAGAGAAGGGGTAGTAAAAAAGAAGTGGCCCACTGAGAAATTTTTGGTGGATTTAAATGGGAGGAGGTGATAGGTACTGAGGCGTAATTTCTGCCTGAGGATAAGACAAAAAGATTGTGAAGTGTTTATCACTTTTGACCAATATAAAATAGTATAGGGTCAAGGACAGAAACCAAAGAGGACATTCATTGTATAGAATGCTTCCTTATTAACTAAATCAACAAAGCATTATAGCTAATGGACTATTCTTTAAAATGTAGAAGTAATTTTGTAGAAATAATTTCGTGGTAATGCTACTCACTGATCACATTTTACTCTTAATATAACAGCTGAGGTGCTGAGGCGACTCAGAACAAAGAAGTAATTCAAGTGGTGTGGAGTTAATCAGGGAAGGTTTCCGGGAAGAGGTGAGTTACGAGTCATCTTTTGAATTAGGAGTTGGGTATGGACAGTTGGAAGATTTGAGGATTACAATGAGTGACAGATTAAAAAGTGGCTTTAAAGTAGGATTGAAGGTTTGAATGAAGGTTTAAGGGTGTGGCCACCAACTAAGTCAGTTGCAGCTTAGTTGATAAATGATGATTCTGTATGGTGACTATGAGAGATTTAGAGTGGTTAATAGGCAGTAAGGGAGAGAGCATAAACATATTTTTGATAGTTATAAAGGAATATGGTGAAAGTAAGTTGGGTTGTTGAGAGGTAGATTTGGCGCTCAAACATTTTGTGTCCTGTGCTAGATAATATTAATAATATTAGTATAATTTATTGGGTACTACTTTGTGCCAGACACTATTTTGAACTTTCTAAGCATCATCTTCTTTTGATTATCCTTATTTTATAGATGAAGGAACTGGGATTCAGAGGGAATTGATTTGCCCAAAATCACATGGCTAATAAGGTCAGGATAGGCAAAGTCAGTCAGTAAATGTTAATTGAGTATCTGTTTCATGTCATCCACTGTGTTAAGTGCTAGAGATTCAAAGTTGAGAGCAAATCCATAGATCAAGTCTGAGCCATTTTTTTAGAGATTGTCACAAATTAACAGAAGAGAGCCAGTGAAGAAAGAGAAAAAGATTAGTTGGAAGGATTTTTGTAGACACTGAGGAATATATTATTTAGGGAAACTAAGAATAGAAAGATTTAGGAAAGAGGAAGTGGTCAGCAGTAAGATACATAGCTGAGAGACTCAGAAGAATCCATTACATTAAGTAAGGAAAAAAGTTAATGGGAGATTAGTCTCAAGAAAGCTAGAGTGAAGATATTAAAATACAGGACAATAGTTAATCATGTTTGGTGGCAAGTGCTGTATACAAATTTAAAATTTGGTAGGATCACAGTTATGGTTAAATTCATAGAAAACTATGTTGGCATGTCCCTCTGCAGTATTTTAATCTGTGACTGGTAAGCTCATGCATGGGTGGTTTAAAAGTACTTGTACTTTTTATATTTTTCAAATAAAAAAAACAAGCCTTATTATTATTTAAAAAATGTTTGTTTATTTCTAGAGGGGATGGGAGGGAGAAAGAAAGGGAGAGAAACATTAGTGTGGGATTGCCTCTTGCGTGCCCCCCACAGGAGACCTGGAAGGCAACCCATGCATGTACCCTGACTGGGGATTGAACCAGCAACTCTTTGCTTTGCAACCAGCACTCAATCCACTGAGCCACACCAGCCAGGGCCAAGCCTTATTATTTTTATAATTAGCGAGGAAAACAGTCATTCAACTGAAATGAGCTAATGGGAAATAGGTGGATAGATTAATGCTAATCTGAATTATTTTGGGGATCAGAGAAAGGATGGTCTTGCTACAGTGCCTACTGCATATGAGCCACTTTGGTAGGTACACATTCTCATCTCAGAATGACTGGATTGTTACGGGTAGAAACATGCTGAAATTACATGTTAAAAGATAGCATGTGCTTAATCTGAGAGCTCAGGTTTCTAAAGCACCCTGAGTCATGAAGATACAGTCTCGGCTATTCTGAACATTATTTCCTTTTCATTTAATAAATGAATTTAAGGTTAAGAAGCCAAGCCACCCATACAGTTGAGTGGTAACATTTTAACTTTGTCTTTTGGTCTTACACTCTTCCTTCTTCCCACACATTGGGTTCTAGGGTTCCTCTCTTCAGTGAGTTTTTAATGGGCTTAGAGCCTCACAGTTTTGTGTGGTGATATGAAAGTGCTGGTTTTACACAAAACTAACTGAAACACTTAAAATTTGTCATTGTTTTCTGTTCCCAATTTGAAGAAGAAAGACAAATTGCAAGAAAGTAAGCTTTTTCTTAAGCAAAATTTTCCAAAGGAGACTAGTAGGATTTGCCCTTAGGATATAGTATGGATTTATTCTGATCTCTAAAGGAGAGGAAGAGGAATTGTATTAAGTCAGGAATAGGCTCTAGTTTTTCATTTAATTTCATTTGACTCATAGGAATTATGAGAGAAAATAATATTTCATCTTGGTACTGTACTTTTTTCCTTAAATTATCACATTTAATTTTCATACTGTTCTGTAAGTTGGCTCTCCCATTTTATAGATGAAGAGAATGGGGCTCAGTAGTAACTTTGCAAAGGTTGAATAGCTAAGGAACAGAGCTGAGATTCAAACCTTGTTTTGTCAAATTTCAAAACATTTGCAATATAAGACAAATGGCAAGAAGAACTTTATGTGAATGCCCACAATTTAAAGAAATGCTAAGGAGCTTTAGGTATTTAGTAACTGTTTGTTACCTTAGAGCAGGGTGTTACACTTATTTTCACCTGGGGCCACTTCAGCCACATCAGCCACATCAACCTGGTAGTTGCCTTCAGAGGGCTGAATGTAATTTAGGGCTATGTAAGTGTAACTACTCCTTCACAGTTAAGTGAGAGTTCCTGCTGCTGGGTAGAAACAAGGAACAATGTGCCTGCTGGATAAAACAAGGTGCAGGGCTGGAATTGGCTCATGGGCCTTCTGTTTGCCACTTGTGCCTTAGAAGATGAGGGTTCTTGCCTTGTGTGGTTGTGCCTTGTGATACTGGCTCTTAAATGATAGTGATTTTTGTGTCTCATACAGTGCATTATATTAATGGGTTGGCCAAAAAGTCCATTTTTTTCCTTATAAAATAAAGGACACATTTTTCATTTTTACCAATAACTATTGATTTGGATATTTTGAGTATATTGGCTATCTCCCACTATTGGCTTCTAAATGTACAGAGGCCAGGAGTGCTGCTAAACATCTTCCAATGCATAAGACAGCCCCACAGCAAAGAATTATTTGGCCAAAATGTTAATATACCAAGAAACTTCACAAACCACTTTTGACATGTTGCATTAGCTGTAGCCCTTTCTCCGTGTACTGCACAAATCTTTTTTTTGTGTGTCTCAGTTGGTTTTTTTTACCTTTCTTAAAATAATAAACCATAATACACCTAAACTGTTATTTATCTTTCATCTTCAGTATTAAAATAGCTGTACAAAAATTCACCAGTTTTGCTAAGTTTTTTAAAATGCATGCAGATATGACAGCTGTCACAATACAATCTAATAAAATTGTTTTAAATGAAGTTAAAGACAGCTAAGCACTATTAGAGCCATCATACGGAGAAAACTAAGTGAACTTTTTGGCCCACACAGTGCATTTAAAGGTGTGTTTACACATTTTGGTGTTTTTTGAAATGAAAATGAATCTGCAGTGCTGTATTTATTTTAAAATGTTTGTGAAATAGATACTATGTCTTAAAGCTTGACGTGTCTCAGAATTGAGGTAGCATGATATTTGCATATAGTTTGTACTGTCTAAACAATTTGTTGTGTGCATCCCCCCCTTTACTTAGCCAAATACTTTCTTTTTTAGTATGGCATAATATAGAACTGAAGTATGTATTAATAATAAAATGGTTACTTTCTTTAGCTACTGAATATTATAGTATAGAAAAAAAGACTTCGATGTAGAAAATCCACATTGCACTGTGAATCAGCAGATCTGAGTTTTAATTTTGGTTTTGCTAGCAATTTGATGTGTGACTTGAGGCAAGTCACTTCCCCTCTCAGAACTTTAGTTTTTTCATCTGAAAAATGGAGTGGGGAGGGAAAACTTTTAGACCTGTCTAGCTTGAACAAACTATTTGCCCTCTTTCTAATGAAAAATGTGAATGCCTTAAAAATTTTATCACTTTCTTAAAAATTGTATTTATTGCTTTTTACTATTTTTTCTTTCTCTTTATCTCCCTGTCTTCCCTCCTTGTCCCTTTTATTCGTGGATCCTTGAGGGTACTGTTAGATTTTTAATTTATTAGAATGGTGAATTATTTTTGGTATACTACACTTATCAGGTCAGGGTACCTGAGAAAGTAGGTACCTAATAAATAGTTAATGAATGAATAAATATGTTTTATCTGAGTTAACAAAAGAATCTATGAATACAATGCCATCCAAAAAGCTGTTGAACTTTCACTGAAAGGTAATTCTGCCTAAACAATGAAATGTGTTTTGTAAAGTAAATTTATCTGCCCTCTATAGGTATATACAGAAGAAAACTACTGGGCATGTCTATAAGTTCTCTGTTCTGGTAGAAGAGGCAAACTGCTTTAAACTTCATATGGGAAATTGCCAACAGAAAAATATAATAATATACATAATATTAATATCACCAACTTTATTTATTTTAAAGACCTAATTTATTTATTTTTAGAGAGAGGAGAAGGGAGGGAGAAAGAGAGAAAACAGGAGAGAAACATTGATTGGTTGCCCCTCATAAGCACCCTGACTGAGAACCGAACCCACAACCTAGGCATGTGCTCTGACTAGAAATCCAACCTGCGACCCTTTGCTCTTTGCAGGACGACACCCAGCCAACTGAGCCACACCAGTCAGGGCTATAACATAAGCTTTAACAACTAGCTTGTGATCAATCTGGTTTCATCTGTAGCTCCGCCCACTTCCCCATTATTTTATTTTGAAGCAAAGCCCTAGACATTTTTACCAATTATTACCAGATGGCATGGTAAATGTGACAATAGACATGCTAATTTAAGTGAAGTGGAAATTTTTAAAATAAAATATATATTAAAGAGTATGGGTTATACTCTGCATGGCAAGAGAAATTAAACATAATCTGTAGGGTGAGGATAATGTAATTGGAGAGACTGTGTAATATATATAAAATAGAATGTAGTGAGATCATGTGCCAGAATTGGTTATAGAGATTGCAAGTGAGAAATAACATTATTTCTGAATGAAAGTAGGATTTAGACAGGGGGAAAGAACATTTAAGGGGGGAGGTGAGGGTGATCACATGGAGAAAGCAAGTAGAAAAATACAATTTTAGCTTTATAGAATAAGTTCTAGCTAAATCTGTATTTATATCTTTTAGGCCCCTGCAAGGTGTTATTGACATACTGTACACTTGACAGGAGCCAAGTGC